TATATATATATATATGAGGGTGAGATAAATTATTAGGATTATAAAATGAAACTTGTTTTAAGGATTTAAACTGATTAGTAAGTAAATATGTGTTTTGTATAAAGGAAATATTTCCTTTTAATTTTTTTTTTTAATTTGGCGGAATGCATTAGAGACTTCTATGTTTATTATCAATTAAACTTTCAGTTTTAAATTAATTACCATCGTGTACATCATACTAAGAATCGTTAAATTTTTCGAAAGTCTTTGAACCATGCACATGTATCTGGCTCGATTTTCATTGAAGTCCAATTATGAGTTGTCACAGTGTTTAAAATGATGTGGCTGAGTCATTACCAAGCGTGTTGGATACTTTTAGGTATTTATTATTAAATGAATAAAATAAAATTATTTCGTCAATTATGCTGTATTTCCATCATAATCGAAATATTTGATATTGGAACTTTAATTTAAGGGACTAGTAATTCCACGAAGAGGGATACTCACATCCATGTTCCTGGTATCGTCGATGCTGCGACGATGAGGAGTAATCTCAGAATAATGAGTAAGCCGCGGTAAGCTGCCATCTTGCCTGGAAAGTAATTTCGATGTAAGTATTAACTATTAAAATTTCGATATACACGAAATATAAATAAAAGTTATTGAAAGAAAAAGAGTAATCGAGAAAATAAATATCAAAAGCGAATATTTAAACATCGAGGAAATTTCGATTAACATAAAAATTATTAGTCAAAAATTTAGGTACGAGAATATGATATAACATTATTGCTATTGTTTTGTTTATAATTAGTTGTTTGCAAAATTATTGCATAAAAATAAAACATTTTATTGTATCGAGATAAAAGTAGTAAATAAACTATGTTATACCAATTGGTTCAATGTTATAACGGTTAAAAATAATAGTATAAGGAAGAGTTTCCAAATTATTAAATTTGGGAAGAAACTTTTGGAAATAGCTTCTAAAGGTCAACAGCTATTCACTGTTTAATAAACAAATTCACGAAGACTGGATCTGTGCGCAAAGAAAAAAAAAATAGAGTTCCAGTTAATCTTCGTATCACGGAAGTAGTTAAAACAAAATCACACCTGATATGCCTGAAGCGTGTTCGAGATACCAATCCTAACATTGTCAGGCAAAGAAAAAGAGAAAAGAAAAATCAGTGAACTTCCTCGATCATTTCTAATCCAATCACATGGTCCCTATCAATATTCAACTTTAATTAAAACCTGCTTCACTCGAAACCTAAATAATCCCTTTACGAATCCTAAAATTTTTACACAAAGGAAAAAGGAATTGAAGGACCTTCTGATAACTTTTGATCCAACCTGTACCCACATGTATCTCCACCAACATTTAAACTTAACCAAAATCTACTTCATTTGAAACCTACATAGTCCTGAATGATCGAAATGTTTTTATTCGAAAAAGGAAAAAAAAGAAAGTCACGAAATACGTGACCGAAAAAATAGCACAAGGGAATTTCAAGCAGTAACGCAAAGTATCTCACCCGGTATACAAAATAAGTACGTGTGCACACGTACCGGTAAGTGTATACCAGTTCCGTGGGTTGCAAGCACGCCATAGACTCAGCTTGCAACGAAAGACACCTAAGTCCAGACGATTATGGTACATCGATTCGACATTACACCTTGCTTGCTCCTGAAGCGAGTCGCGAGAAGTCTCGGTTCTTGCTCTCGGTTCGGGTTCGAGTCGCGCGACTGGTTAATAGAAACTATGGACCTGAGTTACGACTCGCAAACTCTATAACTTTTCATTTTCCACTGTTACGTTACGGTGACACGAGAACTATGCTCGTTGATGAGTAAAGCCCAACGACAGTATGGTATTTATGGTTTGTACTCTTTGACTTGATTGTTACGCGGATGTACACCCCTGCTCTCGAGCATTGGGACACCTACTGGTCTCGAGCATGCAGTTTAGCAGGTCGAGAAGATTGACAGAGTTGTATTGGAAGACGAAGAGGAAAGAAGTTGAAATGCGGTGGAGTTTTAAGAATCTGAGTTTAGTGGAAGGTGTGTGTGTTTGGATATGGGAATTTGGGAATTGAAGAACACTCGGCTACGGTGATTAGTTTGCAATTACAGTGAAGAGGTAACGTCAGTGATGATAGTAAAGGATAATAGTTTATTTATTTATTGCTATTATTAACGGGTTTACACTCTCGGGTAAATGTTACAAAAGTCGTTTTTAGTGACATGGTGATTTGGTGACACGCAGATTTTGCGGAATCGTCAATAGCTGACGTAGAAAGGTACTTCTAAGAATAAAAGAATCAATCGATTCACAATATTTATTCACGCAAATGATAATGGATTTTATACCTTATAGTTGTATCACGAATGTAATACTTCAAGTTTTTAATGTGTTTTCAAGGTATTTTTATTTTTAGGTCTTTCATAGTTAATTTGTAAATTGTGTAGACTTGTAGTTGTAGTAGATGTTTGTAGTAGTGGTTACATTTAATATTATTCTTTCATTTGGATAGATTTAGTACTGCATGATAAATATTAATACAAAAATTTAATGAGAGGGTTGATTGCAGTATCCCAAAGATATGACAATAATAAAAATTTCATTATATTTTATTTGTGTTTTAAATCATTTAAATGTCTTTTGGTTAAACTTTTATTAAAGTAGCTTCCATTTTACTTTGACGATTGTTAAGGCAAATAATACCAATTTTACATTTAATCAACAATTAAAGTGTGTTCTGAGAATTGCAGAACACGTTTGAATCGCAGAATATTCGTATAATAGAAAGTTTGGATAGTAGAACATTCGAATAATAGAAAGTTTGTGTAGTCAAACGTTTAAATAATAGAACGTTTGGATAATAATAGGTGTTCAGATTGAAATAGGGATTTCACTGTGTATATGTGTATGTATATATATATATACATACGATTTTCTTTTAGGGATATTCTGATTTTTTGAAAGAATTGTACCTGGTTTCTACAAGAATATCGTATACATACAATTTTAAAGGTAGATCTTGCCTATACTTCTGTAATAATTTTGAAAAGACTTATGAAGTATAACATTTTTTATATTCTTAAATTTAACTTATCAAATCTAAACTTTCAAACCTTCAAATTCGATTAATGGAAAATGATAAATAATGAAAACAAGGATATATTGTATCCATCTATAATTTTCACATTTATAGTTTACATATCTATAATTTTCACAGACTTTCGAAATTAAAGAAAATTTGATAAATCTTCGATTCTCATAAAAACAAAGAAATTGATAAATCTCCGGTCTTTCTGAATTTCTATATTTATCGCTTAACGACCATCTCGAAAAGATCATTCTCCCCAAGGTGCAAGGAATTCTTTCTAAACTGAAGAAGCACGATCTCATTTTAGAATACCGTTGCATCGTAGGCCTCGGTAATCGATGACAGGTTCGTATAAAAAAGTTCCATGGGTCTTGTTGGCGAGTGAATGATCTTGGGTAACCCGATCGCGGCTCAAAAAGTTCCGCTACTGGTTTTAAAAGAGGCGAAAGGAGGCGCGTCGTTCATTAAGGAACGCTGCGCTGTTAAATCAAAAAGCTCGGGCCGATTATGGCACATCGATTCTTGCATTACACCTTGCTCGACCACGACGGGTGGCTGTTGCATTCAGAATTGCCCGCTGAGACTAGTTAATATATGCTGCCTGTTGAAGTTACGAGTCGTAAATTTTGTAACTTTTGATCCCGGCTTGCTATAATTCCCGCCAAACGACCATGAAACAAATTAAACACGCTTGCGAACGGGAGCTTTTTAAGGGGACATGGTATTCTGTCATCAATTGCGAAATGATGTCAGCAAATTATCTTAGGGGTAATGTTAATTAAAAACAAGAATAAAAATTTAAAGGGTACAAACACCTTTTATACGAGGATACGGTTAGTTTATTTAATATCAGGGTGTTTATGTGATTTATTGAGACACGTTTTTACTTTAAAATCTATGATTTGCAGAATAAATAGAGTATGTTAAATATTTTGGTATTTGATATTGTTGATTTTCAAACTTTTTTGAACAGGAAGTAATTTTACTTTTATTCTTTGAATATAAACAATTAATCAAAATATAAATACTAGGGTAGGGTATTGATTTTATTATAGAATTTTACTTATATCTCATATGACATATAACCAACTGTATTTCATAGTAAAACTAAAATAAGCATTAAATGAAAAGATAGCTATACTAATACAGCGAACTATAAAATAACTTCCGAACAAAGAAACGAGACATAAAAATATGTCCTACACTATAACACTATCGAGTTCTTCATGTGTGGTCTGCATATGCAAATAAATTAACCACCAACGACACCATATAAAATAACTATCCTCGCATCGAGACACATCTGTTCTTACCCTACTGAAACGATTTCTCATGCAAAATCTATTTCTATGTCATAAAGCTTTATACCCATACTTTGCATGAATTATCATGGCGGCTTTTTGCGAATTCCTTGCGATATTCAATTTGCATCCCGCATTCAAATCGGTTGTCACGCGCATTCAGTGACTTGCGCAGTGTTCGCAGCGCGGCGCGACGTGTTAAAGTCTCTAGTATACTTGTGAAGCACCCTGTATATCCCCGTCTATCTAGCCCACGCGATCGCGCAGAATATTAGCCGGTGTATAAAATGCATTTGTGATCACGACAGGAATGTAAATGGCGTACTTCAGCACGTCTCTCGCGGGACCGGCCTCGAATTATCAGCAATAAAGTATCTCGCTGGCGTGTTGAACAAGACATGACCGGCGGTAGTGCAAGCACCGCTACATTTGTTGCTGAATGAGTTGGTCCTCGTCGCTGATCGTTGATCCTGCGCAGCTGGATGGTACCATGCTGGCTATAACGATCGCAAAAGAGCGTTGATCTAATATTAAAATCGCCAGCGACGATTCCATGGCTAACGGCCATCGAAAGGTTGGAAAAGGAGATCTGTGAAGTTTCGAGACCCGCGATGATAATTAGATGCGGATCTTTAGGGCCATGCGGACATCGTATCTTCGCTTGTCGCCTAGAGCTCGCCTTCCTTCTTTATTACTCTACGATTCTTTGGTTAATCCCACGAAAGGAAAGTTTTATTTTCTCGTGGTTCACGAGAATTTATTTCGTTTGTAGTCCGTTAGTTTAATCGTTAGATGGTTGATATGAACATCGTTGCGTGATTGTTCGTGTTTTACAATCAGGCTTTTAAGATTATGGCTGGTCATTTAGCCTTTTCGTTATGGCGGAGGTGGTCGTTAGTATGTCAAAGTTGAAGTTACAGTTGCTACTTTGTTGTAATTATTGGGATGCAACGGAGTGGTAGTTAATAAGTCTTTAACGAAATTATAATATTCGAAGTTGATTATATAGCGAATTGTAAATAAGTGAGTGTTAGAATAGACAAATTTATAGAAAGTAAAAAATTTATTATATGATAAAATGTATTAAAATGTAATGTGTCGAGAAAATTTACTTACCTATGACTCTTAACGTTTATTTATAACAAATAAAATGTCCATATCTTTGTCTGTGCTTGGAATTTA